GGCTCGGGGCTTTCTTAGGCGCAGGAGGGGTGGGAGGGTAACAGCTATTTAACAAGATATTTTTCATTTTAAATTATATATTTATTTTAGATAAACTGTACATAGTATTTATATTTATTGTACGCCTGGCCCTGCATCCTTCATGTAGGTCAAGATGACGGGGTCAGACCTCCCTTATTTTTTAAGTGCAATGTAATATTCTAATAAATAACACTTTGTTACAAATGCCTGGGCTGTTGATTGAATGGTGGGAGTGGAAAGGAGCCGGACCTCCCGAAGGCTGCCCGTAGCGCCATGCCCTAGCTAGTGGGGTACTGCGGAGGTCCCGAGTGCGCGGTGGGGGTTGCTGGATGGGCCTCTGCCGTCCGTGGGGCGCAGCAGAGCAGCGTGGTGCGAGGGGCTGGCAGGGTCTGTCCCGCAGGAGCCAGGGCAGCCCTGTCTGTGTTTCTCTGGAGATTTGCATCTTTGCCGGCTGATGCCCTGGGTGGGATGCGATGGTTGGGGGTCTGCTCCTCAAGCAGAGCTGCCCCTGGTGTGAGCGCAGCCCCCTGGGCTGCTGATCAATCCAAGTGAGGCTGATTCCTGGTTTTAAGCCAGCATTTGGATGAAGGAAAAAAAAAAAAAAAATAAAAGAGGTGGACTCACACCCCCCTTGCAGGGGATCCCAGCAGTGCCTGGGGCTGGGGTTGTTGAAGCATCACTTCAGATGGCGGTTCAGGACCCACTCCTGACTTTGCAGTAAAAATGACCCCCAGACCACTTCTTTCCTGTTCCCTGATGTTGCCCTGGGGGGTGTGAGATTGGGGTGAGACGCTGACTCTAGCTGAGAGCCTGGAGGGACAGGGCTTCCCCCCGCCGGGAGCCTGCCTTCCTCCAGCCCCGTGCCCCTGGGTCGGGCTGCAGTGTTCAGAGGGGAGTGCTGAGCTCCCGCTTCCCACCGCTGCTCCTACAGCGTGCGCTCGGCTGGGCAGTGAACGCTCTGCAGAGCTTTTTGGCCTAATTTAGCCAAAATTGAGCCCTGGTCAAGTATGAAATAAGCTTTATGCTCGCTGTGGGAGGGGTTGCTTAGGAAGTGAGTGCATGGGTTCCGCCCTCTCGCACGCTGGTATGTTTTGTGGGAAGGGGGAATGCAGCAACACTTTGTCTTTCCAGTGGTTCCAGAGGCAGAAGGGCTGAGGTACAGGGCTACAGCCGACGGGGGCGGGTGGGCGACAGCGGGCACCCTCCTGTGTTATCACCTGGAGAGCAAAAGCCCCAGCAGCTCCCTGAGCCCCAGAGCCAGGGGAAGAAGTTACAGCTCTGCTTCATGCAAACCTGAACCTTAATGCTGTGGGAGTGCCGGTTTATCAGCGGCTCCAAACTTTGGCCCTTTGCAATGCCTGTTGAGCAGATAATGCCTCCGGCTGCCCCCCTGCCTTGCCGCGCGGCTGCTGCTCCCCTTCCCAGAGCCGCTCCCTGCTCCAGCCCTGCACCCGTCGTG